GACCACACCGGGTGCACCCCTTGTGTGCCTACTGTGTACCTGTGTCCTTGATGTTCTGCATGAAACAACTCATTCCAGCCTCTGACAACCTTCCAGAAAGGTGACAGTAATTCCCTGTCCCACAGTCACACTCTGGCTGCTAGCAGAACCCAGGTTTGACGCTTCCTCCCCCCGACCCCCACCTGGAGGGGCCTGGAGACTGACTTGTGGGGCCTGGAGCCACCCCAGGGATGGGATCAGAACCAGCTCCTGACTTCCCATCAGAAAGGAGGGGCCAGGGTGAGACACCGCTGCAGGAAAGCTGTGAGGCTGGGATGTGGTGGAAACGCCCTCACCCCTCCACTTCCCCAGGAGGGGCCGCCGGGAGGGGCCACTCCCAGCCTCAGGGTCAGCCCCAACCCACCCTGAGGCTCCAGGGAGGCAGGGCTGGACCAGGCCAGGCCTGGTGAATTCCTGGGCAGCGGGCGCCCCCTGCAGACAAAGGTGCCGCCAGGCGGAGGCCAGGTCATCCCAACCTCAGACACCCAGCCCTAGTGGGGAGCTGGGCCAGGGCAGCCGCTGCAATCACCATGTTGCCCAGTTTTAAGGATGAGAAAAATGTTAGGTGTCTTGCCCAAGGTCACAGGTGACCTTGGGCAGGTGGTGTCGGGTCCTGAACTCACGTCTCCATAGATCCTGGCTCCCCCAACCCGGAAGGTCTTTGACCCCCAGTAGAGCCTCCCCGAAGCCCTCACCCAGGACAGACATGCACAGCGTGACAGTTGTAAGGGGCAGGCAAGGGTATTTAATGGGCATTGAGGGTCTTGGCACTCCCACCAGGGAAGGGCAAGGGCAGGGCACAGAAAGGCTTCCACTCAGGAGGTGGGTTCAGAAGGTGAGCTCAGGCGGTGTCTCAGGAGGTGGGCTCAGGAGGTGGGCTCAGGCGGTGTCTCAGGAGGTGGGCTCAGGAGGTGGGCTCAGGCGGTGTCTCAGGAGGTGGGCTCAGGAGGTGGGCTCAGGCACTGGTGCTGTGGGCATCTCCGGGCGCACAGGGGCGAGAGGAAGGCGGAGCCTCGCCTGGGGCCCTCCAGCAGCAGGGGCCGCACCGGCCCCGTGTTAGGCTAAACAGAACAGGGGTGCAAGGGCTCTTGCCAAGACTGTGCCCCACAGCCCAGGCCAGGTCTCCTGCCCCAGAGGCAGAGCAGAGGGAGCAGGCTGGCCCCAGAACACGCTGCAAAGGCCCCAGGGGCGCTGGGCTTACTCAGCCCGACCGCGGCACTCCTGATGCCCCCAACGTGCCACCTCCAAGTTTCATGGGGCTTCATTTCCTTAAATAAAATAATCTTCCGCCACCCCCACCCCTTGGCCAAATTATAAACCACAGGCTCATCCCAGTCCTGACAGTAAATGACTGACCCAAGGCCAATCAGCACGTTTAGAGGGGTAGTCATTTGTCTGTGACTCCAGGGACTCCTGGGTATATTCTAGAGGCCTGGGGCCTCCTTTCAACGCCCCTCCAGTGTAGAACCCCCTCCCCCATGCACAGGGCGCTCCAGCCTCAGGGGCCTCCCCCCCCACCCTCACAACCTGCAGACACCCTCTCCGACAGGCACGCGCGCACGTGCGCACACACGCTCCTTACCTCCTGGAGAGCCGCAGCCTCACCACTCCCTGGGGGCCCCTTCCCTGGTTTGTAGGGACGCAGAGGTTGGGGCTGGAGGCAAGGGCAGGCCTGGGGGGACGTAGGGGAGTGCAGGTTCGGCATGGGTGTCCAGTCAGGCCCCACCGCTGTCTGCAGCTGGACAGCTTCAGCCATGTACCTGGGGAGGAACAGGCCACATGCAGGCCACTGTCCTCCTGGCCTGGTCCCCCCGCACCCTTCAGCGTGGGAAGCAGGCAGCCCAGGGCTTGGCTCTGCAGGAAGCTGAGGTCGGCCTTGTGCATAATGCAGCGCCCCTCTGCGCCATCACGGGGCAAGAACCCACAGAGGTGAGGAAGTGGGGAGGCCCCAGAGCTCCCAGTGCCCTGGAGAAGACCCCGGAGGAGCAGGAACCGTGAGTGTAAGGGCCTGGGGCTGAGGTGAGGAGCGGGGGGGCGCCCACCTCCGCCCCACCCCAGCCCCAGGTTTACCAGGGCCTGTGCTTTGCCAACTCACTTGGGGCCCCGTGGTGCACAGATTGTTAAATACCAGTTGCTGGCACAGCCCTGGTCGAAGGGGTTGTATCCCTGAAGGTGCCTGCACTGGAGGAGGGTGGAAACCGGAAGAGGAGCTCAGAACCGGCAGGAAAGGCTGTGCCGTCACCCAGTGGCCCTCCCGGAGCTGGTCAGCCAGCCAGGGCTCAGCCCAGCAGCAAGCTGGGGTTAGAGGACCCCCACGGCACCGTCCTCCCGTCTGTCTCCACCGGCCACACACATCCTCCTGCCTCCTTCCAGATACAGACTGCCTTCCCTGAAGGCTGTGTGAGGCCCAATCACACGTCCCAACCACCGTCACGTGGCCCAGGAAAATCTGGGCTCAAGCCCTGAACACACACCAGGTTCTCTGCCCACTGCCTCTACCCATCCGTCTCACCCCTCCTGAACTCCCTCCTCCTCCCCAGGGCAGGCTGGGCCTCACCTGACTTCAAGGGCCTTCGCTGTCACGTCCTGTCACTGAACGTGGCCCAGCCACGTCTCTGCCCACCACCAACGCCTGCATGTCCCATCCCCCGGCCCCGCAAAGACTGAGCTTTTCAACACCGTTCTCCACCGAAGGGGTCTGGATGCCATGCAGGGCAGCTGGCACTCGAGGGGGGAAGTCAGGACCGCTCCAGGAGAGCTCAGCATTGCCACAGGGCGACACGCTTCCTTGCAGGATTTGAGGTTCTGCCTATTTTAGGGTGTTTAAAGCAAGCAAAAGAAGCTGGTATTGCTGGTATTGGCCAGGAAGGGTGGCTCACGCCTGTAATCCCTGCCCTTTGGGAGGCCGAGGTAGGTGGATCACTTGAGGTCAGGAGTTCGAGACCAGCCTGGCCAACATGGCAAAACCCTGTCTACTAAAAATACAAAAATTAGTCTGGTGTAGTGGCACATGCCTGTAATCCCAGCTACTCGGGAGGCTGAGGCAGGAGAATTGCTTGAACCCAGGAGGTGGAGGCTGCAGTGAGCCGAGATCGCACCACGGCACTCCAGCCTGGGCGGCAGAGTGAGACTCCATCTCAAAAATATATGTATATTCCAGGGGCTGGTCTGAAAGCAGTGGGTGTCTCGCCTTGTGCAGTAAGTTACAGATTCAGTTCCTCGTTCTATTCTTTCCTTACTTCACTCTACCAAGCACTGTGCTGGGGACTGAGACACACACACACAACACCCAGGGCCAGCCCGAACCTTCAGGGTGCTGAGGACGGTACCAAGGGAGGGAGCAGGAACCCAGGCCAAGACGCCCAGGCACAGGCAGAGGACCCGGCCTGGAAGCCGGGGTGGAGCCCTGAGGGGCGGGGACAGGTCGTGCAGCCGCGTTCAGTTTCAGAAGCTGCTGTGTGCGGTCCAGAAAGAGTAGGTGAGGACTGGCCACTGGCCTTGGCCACCTGGTGGGAGCAGCAGCAGTGTGACGGTGAGGACTGTGGCCGGCTGAGCTGGGGGAGGGGGTGGAGCAAGTGGGCACTGCCAGCTCTGTCAGGAGACCCGGCTGCAGGAAAGCAGAGTACAGCGAGGAGCGGAGGCTGGCAATGGGAAGAGAGGGTATGGCTTTGCTTTTACGATGAGACAGACAGAAGCATGCGGAAATGATGACAACAATGAATGGTGGCTCACACCTGTCATCCCAGCACTTTGGGGGGCCGAGGCAGGCGGATCACCTGAGGTCAGGAGTTCGAGACCAGCCTGCCCAACAGGGAGAAACCCCATCTCTACTGAAAATACAAAATTAGCCGGGCATGGTGGCGGGTGTCTGTAGTCTCAGCTACTCAGGAGGCTGAGGCAGGAGAATCGCTTGAACCTGGGAGGCGGAGGTTGCAGTGAACCAAGGTCGTGCCACTGCGCTCCAGCCTGGGTAATGAGCAAAACTCCGCCTCAAAAGAGTAAGAAACAAACAATAGTGTCGCCATCTAGAGCACTCACTTGTGCCAGCTGCTACTCTATGTCTTTTTCTTTTTTTTCTTTGAGACCGAGTTCTGCTCTGCTGCCCAGGCAGGAGTGCAGCGGCACAATCTCAGCTCACCAAAACCTCTGCCTCCCAGGTTCAAGTGATTCTCCTGCCTCTGCCTCCCACGTAGCTGGGATTACAGGTGCGCGCCACCACACCCGGCTAATTTTTTGTATTTTTAGCAGAGATGGAATTTCTCCATGTTGGTCAGACTGGTCTGGAGCTCCCGACCTCAGGTGATCTGCCCACCTCAGCCTCCTGAAGTGCTGGGATGACAGGCGTGAGCGCCGAGCCCAGCCGGCTTTATTTATTATAATCCTCCAAAACTAGAAATACCACAACATCTTCAATGGGAAATGGATAAATAAGCCATTGAACATCCACACAGTACAATACTGAACAGCAATAAAAAGGAATAAATGACTCATATGAACAACAACATGAATGAATCTCAAATGTTCTGTGCTACGTGAAAGAAGGCAGACTCACAAGCCAACAATTCCATGTATTCTGGAAAAGGAAAAATGATAAGGACAGAAGACAGGTCCGTGGTTGCCAAGAGCTGCAGCTGGGGGAGAAATCGGCTACAACAGACCATGATCTCTGATTTTCTGGGGTAATGGAACTGTTCTAAATATTGATTTTGGTGGTGGCTGCAGGACTGTATCCATTTGTCAAAACTCATAGCTGCACACTAGAAAAGGAAGAGCATTACACAGGTAGATTATTGCCCAATAAATTACTTTTTTTTTTTTTTTTGGAGACAGAATCTCGCTCTGTCTCCCAGGCTGGAGTGCAGTGGCACAATCTCAGCTCACTGCAACCTCCACCTCCCGGGTTCAAGAGATTCTCTGCCTCAGCCTCCAAGTAGCTGGGACTACAGGCACGCACCACCACGCCGGGCTAATTGTTAGCCAGACTGGTCTCAAACTCCTGGCCTGGCCTCAAGTGATCCTCCCACCTCGGCCTCCCAAAGTGCTGAGATTACAGGCGTAAGCCCCGCATGTGTCTAATGAACTTGACTTTTAAAGAATCCTACCCTGGCTCTCTGCATCAAGCCTAAATTCACCACCTGACTTTCTGGGCCACGGTGCCTAGCCTGGGCTTTAAAAAATAATAATAATAATAAGGTCTCGCTCTATTTCCCAGGCTGGAGTGCAGTGCTGCAATCACAGCTCAGCCTTTATCTCCCAGGCTCAAGCGATCCTCCCGCCTCAGCCTCTGGAGCGGCTGGGACTATAGGCACATGCCACCACGCCTGGCTAATTTTTTAACTTTTTGTAGAGATAAAGTCTTGTTCTGTTGCCCAGGCTGGTCTCAAACTCCTGGGCTCAAGTGAGCCTCCCACCTCGGCTTCCCAAACTGCTGAGCTTACAGACATGAGCCACAGTGCCCGGCCTGGACCTCTTCAGTGTGACCAGCGGGGATCAGTCAGCATGGTTGCCCACACCACCTTCTCCCCAGTTAGAATTGCTTCCTCACCATCTGTCAGATCCACAGACTGTCAGGCTTCCCTGAGTTTCTGCAAAGGTGTGCCCATCACCTGCAATGCCCTCCCCTGTCCTGTCTCTCCCAGACCACTAAGCTGCACGTCCTCCTCTGCTGCGGGGTCCTCCCTCAACTCTCAGTGCCTAAGTCTGCCAGGCCCAGGACCACTCTGAGCCCTCGTGGGTATCTGGTGGGTGTCACTCTGATTTCAGGTTCCTCATCAACACAGGTGTGGAATGGAGCCTGACTCACGTCTATTCTTACGCTCACGGTAACACCAACAGCCTAGCACGCAGTAGGCTCCCACATTCACAGAAATTCAAACCGCCTGGCACACAGTAGGCTCCCACACTCACAGTAACACAAACCGCCTAGCACACAATAGGCTCCCATGCTCACAGTGACACAAATGCCTAGCACACAGTAGGCTTCCACACTCACAGTAAACCGACAGCCTA